CTCTCTCTCTCTCTCTCTCTCTCTCTCTTTCTTTCTGCCATCACGCATCTCGACCGTTTCACGTGAGAAGTGGCACTAACCGTCCAACGAGCGAGGATACCGCCCAAAAAACGAGCTCTAAAAAAGAAACGTTGCTAGCTTCCTGGAGAACGGAGTGTATCGTATGAAAGGGTTGCCAAGGGCTGGTAGGGTAAGTGTCGAGGGAACAAGTGGAAAGAGGGTGGCGGAGACCGCAGTCGTAAGGGACACTCGATAAACAGCCCCCCCGCGGCGTGTGTTCGCCAGACACAGGCGTTAAATGAAATTAGCACGGCGTTTAGTTAACTTAGCCGGGCCGTTTAGCCCGATCCTTCGGGTTATAAATTATTCTGGAATGACTTGCACCGGAGTGGTTGGTGAACAGAGTAGACGGAGGCAAGGGGAACGAGCGAGAGAAAGAAGGGAGAAAAGTGGACGAGAGAAGAGCGGCTTGTCGGTCTATATCGAAGGGATATAGATTGGAAAGGATAATTTGTTTCCGCCGTGATACTTTCGTTTGTAACTTTGTAGCACAGTTCAGTGTGGTTATAATACTGTTGCTCTCTGTTTCTTTTTAACGAGAAATCTCTTCTTTTCCTTCATGTATTTTCACTCTCATTCGTAATGATTCTTCTGCCTGTTACGAGAAAAATATTATTAAAAAGGAGGATCTTGCTGCCGATATATAGAAAAGCAAATATATGTATTTCGTCGTTCTTGACTCTGCCGGTTGCAACCGCTGGTTTACAATTTTCGTTGATACAGTTGTAGTTCACTTAGTGGAGTGTCAACTGGAGACTTGGAAATCATTAAGGCAAGCGGCACGGTGCTTCAGGACCCTTAAACACGGCGACCGTACGGAAGAAAAAGAGCTAGAATCGGGCCGTTGAGAAGGCGTGAAACGTTGGCGCCTGGCGCTCCCGGCAGGAAAAGGGTTCGACGATTCGTAAAGGATAAATGAAGGCTGTGGAAACTGGACTGACCCGTGATTTCTCGTGTGTGGCCCGTGACCACGAAATTTCACATCGGTTCCAGTACCGTTTTCGTTTCAAGATCGATCGATCTTCCCCTCGTGCCGAATCGAGTGCAAACAAACAAAATAACCGAAGAGAAAACTCCATTAGAC